TTACTGAAATGATATAGGACCCAAAACCATAAACAGACTTCAAATAAAAACAATACAAAGTTCACATAGTTTCACGTTTACATAAAAACACTAAAAACCAAAACAACAATTTAATAATAAAACACCTATCATAGCATGTATATAGACTTAATAATCAAACACAGTCATCAAGTTGAGTTTGCGCTGGATGCATAACAGCTCCCTGTTCCATTTGCAGGGTTCACAGCAGTTCCAAGCATCTACGTTGCCCCAGTCTTCGGCATTGCGGTCCCAGAACTGATACCACTCCCGATTACCCTCATAGTCAATGCAGTCTTGAAAAAAATGTTCGTCTGCAGTAAACTTTTCAAGCAGAGGAGGAGTTTTGGTGCCAGACATGGTATACCGACCCAGTCGAATGCTTATTGAATCCCTGCAAGCTTGCATGTTCAGTTTCTTCGTTTTGCTGAGATGGCACAAAAACTCCATCGCATTCTCCTTGCCCTCGCTAGGGTTCAACAGCCCTAGCAAGCCAACAAGGTAGGAGGCTTCCTCATGCCCTGCCATAGCCGCCACTCGCAGGTTCTTCATGCCCTCATCATCTTTCAATAGGAAGAAGTCATGAATAACTTCTCTGTAAATGATTTCTGGATTGTTATGTTCTTTGCACTTTTGCAAGAACTCAACAATTTTGCCTTCCTCACTTGGGTACCAGTCCTGATGCCACTGGTACTTATCTACTGACATGGTTGTCCAAACCTCAGGATCATTGAGCATTTCTTTAAATAATTTGCAGGTTCCTGCCATGCTGTACAGATCTTCATAGGACTGCTTTGCAACCACGAGCAACACCTTAAACCATGCCAAATGTGGAATATCCATCTTGGTTGTTGGAGAAGAGGGACTGAAAAGGGTCTGTGGAGAAGAGTGACTGAAAATGGTCTGTGGAGGTTTTAATAATCAAGGTGTCGTTTGGGGATGAAGAAGAAACTGCCGCATATAAACCCAACCGGCGTGACCCACTTGACAATGAACGAAGACAAGGGTTTAGATCAGTAATTATTGTATTCGTTTCCCAAGCGGTGTGAGTGAAACGACAATTTACAGTCATCGCTAAAGGTGGAGGGACTGAATTGGTTTCGCGCGCTCCCATATTAAGAGCATTTATGATACCACTTGTCGCCGGCAGCAGTCACAAAATTATAAATGCTTTTCGTGATAATTATTATGCTAAAATCACATCACCACTTATGAAGCAAATGATTTAGTTACATTTGAACATGACCAAGTAATCAATTTCATTTTGCCAACCTTGAAATTAAATATCAACGCACCATTAACAGTAAAGTAAATGATCACAGTGTATATGATACTAATAATGCAAAAATGACATCAGAGCAAGTGAAGGTAACTTGCATTTTAACATTAACAACTAAGCAGTTGCTTCTTGCCAAATATGGAACTAAATATGAACGCGTATCACCAGTACAGAAAAAGAAAACTGTGTGTATGATACTGATAATACAAATATGACAGCACACGTTCTGAAGGTAACTTACATTTCAACCGCGCCGCGTGAACACTTAAATCTCCACAAATATGATACTTAATTTGTCTGATTATCACCTATAAAGAAAATGAAACTACTGTATCTAATACTAATAATGCAAATATGACATCACCACGGAAAGTAGGTATCTAAAGTGGCCGCTCCCCAGTCAAAGTGAACAAATTAATTTTGGCAGGTAAAATTAGTAAGGGGATTGCTGTATAAATAACAAAGTGATATATTTAACCTCACATTGCACCACCAGTTGGTCCAAACAACCCTCAACTCACCATGGGGTCACCTACAAAAATCCCCCCCATACTGATGGGAATCGGGGTCGGGACATAGGTCACCAACCACACACACAACACGAGCACCGAAATCTAGGGCTAGTGCAA